AAAAAAAAAAAAAAAAAAAGAAACAAAGAAAGAAAAGTGACAGGATGGCAAGAGACTGGCACCTGAGAGTATAGGCTTTAGCACCAGACTGGCTTAAATCTTGACTCTGCTCCTTAAGTAGCTTTGGCCACTTAAGTGACTTTGGGCAAATCACTTCACCTCCTTGAACTTCAGATAGTGTTTCTATCTGTAAAATGGGGATAATAATAGCAATTCCTAACAGGGTTTTATGAGTGTTAAATCAGACAATTCATGTAAAGCAAGCACTTACCTCAATGCATTTTGCATAGCTCTAGCTTTAGACAGAAAATGGGTTACTAGTGAAAGTCTGATATTGACTGGCTAGATCCCTAATAATTAAGATGTGGTAAGGTCCCATACCAGATACTCTGGATGCTTTCAAAGGGGCAGAGACCAAGGGACACACGTGCTCATCTCTTTCCTGCTTACATAGCACTCTGTGGCTCAGTGACTGTTGTGGGCTGAAGGCGTTAGAAATACTTCTAAGGAGTGACTCACTTAGGTGGGTCGTTGATGGAGGGATATGACTTGAAAAAGTTATCTAATGTCCTTGGGGCTAAATCTCAAAGTCATTCTCTCAGTTTAGAGAAATATAAAATGTAGCTAAATAATTTCAGTTATCAGAGGAGGATTAAAAAGTATTTTCTAAATAGAAAAACATTTCAACATACAACTGGATTAACCAAGATGCATTTTAAGAAAGTATAAGCTGGGCACTGTGGCATTTGCCTGTAGTCCCAGCTACTGGGGAGGCTGAAGTGGGAGGATGGCTTGAGCCAAGGAGTTGGAGGATATAGTAAACTCTAACTGTGCCACTGCTCTCCAGCCTGAGTGACAGAGTGAGATACCCATGGAAGGAAGGGAAGGAGGGAGAGAAAGAAAAGATATCACCAACATCATGTTTAAACAGTAATACATGGCTTCAGATTAAAGCAGAAACAAGAAATAACATGAACTAGAAAGCCTTTCCATCACCCTTTTCAAAGTTTTAAATGCCTCTCACTTTAGCCCCACAATGTTGGGAGGTCCAAAAGGCCATATCCCATTTCTCTGGCCCAGAGTCTGGACAGTGGCAAAAGATGCCTACACGAAGCCTGGCAATGTAGCTGGGGAGGAGTGTCCTACAATGTGCCTATGCCATTAGAAGCTAAATGTTTTCATCCCCAGAGCTTCACTTTCTTGGCCTCACACTTGCTGTTGGTAATAGTGGTCTGGGGAGATGGAGAGTGGCCAAGTTCCCAAAGCAGGCAGTGAAGCCTGGAAAGGGAGGTGGGCATGGCTGGACAAGGCCTTGGGGTTCCATATGACAACTTCTTGAGGTTTGGGGCCATTTTAAACCAAACTTTGAAAACTGATTTTTTTATTTTATAAATGAGGGTATGGTCCAAAAATGGGTCTCTCCTAAGCCTCCGAGCTTCCAGGATAAAGCTACTTGCTTTTTTTTTTCGAGACAGAGTCTCACTCTGTGTCCTGAGGAGAGTGCCGTGGCGCCATAGCTCACTGCGACCTCAGACTCTTGGGCTCAAGTGTACCTCTTGCCTCTGCCTCCCATGTAGCTGGGACTACAGGTGCCTGCCACAACACCTGGCTCTACTTGCTTCTTTCTAAAGAACCCAGGTATCCCTGTCATCCACTGGAATACAAAGTTGCTTAAGAACTAAAAAGATTTTTGCTCTTTGGTGACTGTGTTTATGCCCTATCCTGCTAACCTTTTGGGTGAAAAAGAGCTGGGTTTCCCCTCTGAACATGAGATCAGGAACAAGGTTGGTGCACTGGTCTCAGAATACTAAGATACAGACATCAGTTACTTCATTTACTACCTCAGTACTTCAGTGCACTAAGGTACATTCAGGCCAGGCAACTGTTAAGGTCAAGCCCCAAGTTACTAGGGGGAGAAAAGATTCTTCAAACTGAACCTGTTTGAATGTTGTGCTCACCTGTTCTTCAAATGAAGAGATCTGCCATCTGTACATTCTTAAGACATCCAACAAACAGCTTGCATCCAAGACCTCATCATCAGTAACTTCTTGGCAGGACAAAGCTGGAATCAAAAAAGGTAAGACAATTATGAAATTCATCAGTGTAACAACCAACCAGAAAACCTACATAGTATAACACATCAAAGATAATTAAAAATTTCAGGACTGCAAGATTCACCTCGGGATTAGAACACTTTCATCACTCTTCTTTGTAGCCTTACCCATGCTTAGTATGATATTAGGTGCTTCACATTGAATGAATGTAATTTTTCATGAGGCTACAGCATTTAAATGAAGTAACTGGTGTCTGGATCTTCAAATTATCATTATCAATATAAATTTATTGTTGCCAGGTTCTTACTGAGCAAATGATGTTAACTCACAACTCCCAGAGTTGGGAGGGCCCCTAAGCATTCGTTTTGTCCAACCTCATATTCTGTGCTTACCTCCTCTCTATAGGTCTCTTTGCCATGGCTATGAGGCCTTTGCTTGTATTTGTTTGAGTTTCTAATTACCATGGCAAAGCATCAAGCTATATGTAGCAGCCTAAAAACCTGCTGAGTGGTTTAGTTTGCTTTTTTAATATTATTATTTCTTAAGAGACAAGGTCTCACTCTGTCGCCTGGGCTAGAGGGCAGTGGCACAATCATATCTCACAGCAACTTCCAACTCCTGTGCTCAAGCGATACTCTTGCCTCAGCCTCCTAAGTAACTGGGACTACACACCCAGATAATTTTCAAATTTTTATAGAGGAAAGGTCTTGCTATGTTGCCTAGACTAGTCTTGAACTCCTGACCTTAAATGATCCTCCCGTCTCAGCCTTCCAAAGTGCTGGGATTAGAAGCATGAGCCACTGCACCTGGTCTTACTTTTATTTATTTATTTATTTATTTATTTACTTTTTTGAGACAGAGTCTCAAGCTATTGCCCTGGGTAGAGTGCCGTGGCATCACAGCTCACAGCAAGCTCCAACTCCTGGGCTTAAGCGATTCTCTTATCTCACCCTCCCAAATAGCTGGGACTATCGGAGCCCACCATAATGCCCAGCTTTTTTTTTTTTGCAGTTTTTGGCTGGGGCTGGGTTTGAACCTGCCACCTCTGGCACATGAGGCTAGCACCCCACTTCTTTGAGCCACAAGCGCCACCCCGCCCAACTATTTTTTTTTTGCAGTTTTTGGCCGGGGCTGGGTTTGAACCCACCACCTCCCGCATATGGGGCCAGTGCCCTACTCCTTTGAGCCACAGGTGCCACCCCTCCAACTATTTTTTTTTTTTTGGTTATAGTTGTTGTTTGGTGGGCCCGGGCTGAATTCTAACCTGCCAGCTCTGGTGTATGTGGCTGGTGCCTTAGATGCTTGAGCTACAAGCACCAAACCCTGGCCTTACTTCTTAATCATTAAGTACAATCAAACCTAATAAACAAAAATAAGTTTGATAGGCTTATGAATTTATTTCATAATTAACATCAGGACAAGGGTTGGTACTTTTTCTGTAAAGGGCCAAATAGTAAACATTTTTGGCTTTGTGGGTCATATGGTCTCTGTCACAACTACTCAACTCTGTGCTGTAGCAAATGTTCACAACTGTGCTCCTGTTTGTTTATTTGGCTCATGGGCCATAGTGTGCCGACTCCCAGTCTTGACCACCCCCTTCCCACAGGATGTTGCACTGGGCCAGCACTGCTAGAGTATGGGGGATGAAGACGTAGGGGCTGCCATCAGTGCAGCTTCTCAAGTTCAGTGACTCCCAAGATAAAGTAGGCCAGCCTGTGTCCTCCTTTAATTTACAGTCAGCAGACCTACAAGATTCCTCTAAATATGTCAGGCTGTGACTCTGGAGGTTCTAAACAGTGCCAGCATCCCACCTCCAGTGCCTTCCCACCCCACCTGTCTGAACTTGGTGGCAACGCTGGGCACAGCAGTGCTGGAAGCTGGTGCTGAGAAGACCTGAGATTCATCTCATCAGGGTGTGTACACCCTGGGTCAGCCCTTTACCATCTAGGATGAAGGGAGTCAGGAAAGGAACTCTACCTTCCCTCTTCCTCCAAAACCCCTCAGGCAGCCTTTCCATTAGCTTTTTCGCGCCCAAGGAGAATTTTAATGTCCCCTTAACCCAATTTGTCTAAAACGCTATGGAGCAATTTGGTAATATCTGCTAACATTTTTATATCCACAACCCAGGAATTTCACTTTTTCAGGATCTACCCTAGAGAAACCCATGATTGAGTGCATGTGGACAGCTGTACAAAGAGATTCACTGTAGCCTGCTTATCTCCACAAGGAACTGGAAGCAAAGAGCTAAAGAAACTGAGGTGTCTCAATATTGTGGGTACTATACAGCTCTAAAAGTCAGTAAGGTTAGCCATGGTGTAATCCTAGCACTTTGGGAGGCTAAGGTAGGAGGATTGCTTAAGACCAGAAGTTCAAGACCAGTCTGGAAGACATAGTGAAACTCTATTTTTATAAAAATTAGAAAAAAAAAAATTAGCCTGATGTGATGGTTGGGAGGCTGAGGCAGAAGGATCATTTGAGCCCAGGAGATTGAGGTTACAGTGAGCTATGATTGTGCTACTGCACTGGGGAACTGAGTGAGAAACCCTGCCTTAAAAAAAATAAAAGTGAATGAGGTTTGCAAATCATATATCTGATGAGAGATTAATACCCAGAATATATAAACTTGGAACTCCTAAAACTCAACAACAAAAAACCCCCAAACAACCCAATTCAAAAATAGGCAAAGGACTTGAATAGACATTTCTCCCAAAAGCCATACAAATGGCCAATATACATGTGAAAAGAGCCTCAATATCACTTCTTATTAGGGAGATGCAAATTAAAATAACATACCACTTCAATTAGGATAGCTACTATCAAAAAAACAGAAAACGATCAAGCGTTGGCCATGACCGGAAGGTCGGATTATAAAATAGTGCAGCCTCTGTGGAAAACAGTACGGCAGTTCCTCAAAAAATTGAACAGAATTACCATTTGATCCAGCAATTCCACTTCCGGGTATTTACAGAAAATAATTGAAAAGACTTTAACAGATATTTAAACACCAAAATATTCACAGCAGCATTATTCATAATTGCCAAAAGATAGAAATCACTCAAATGTCCACTGACAGATGGACAAAGGGACAAACAAAACATTGTGGGTGTGTGTATGTACACACACACACACACACACACACACACAATGGAATGTTACTCAACTTTAAAAAGGAAGAAATTCTGATACATGCTACAACATGGATGAACCTTGAAAACACTAAGTACAATTACTCGCCTAAAGACAAATATTATATGATTACATTTAAATGAGGCACACAGATAAGTGGCATCTGAGATGTCAGTCAAACCCAGAAGCACAACAATGGAGAATGGCAGTTATTGTTAGGACATACAGTTTCAGTTTGGGATGATGAAGAGTTCTAGGGATGGACAGTGGTAACTGTTGCACAAGAATGTGACTATACTTAATGCCATTGAAGTATATACTTAAAAATGGTTGAATTGGTAAATTTCATGTTATGGATATTTTACCACAGTTTTTAAAGATGGGCAAAGGATATGAACAAGCAATTCACAGAATACAAAATATGCAAGACCAATAAACTCACAAAAAAGAGAAAAGTGAATGAGGTAGCACCACATGTACTGAAATGACATTTCTTTAATACCTATTACAATATTTAAATATGAAAAACACAAACAAAACAACATATAATTTCTATGGGTTCACAGAAATGTATCTAAATGTACAAAAAACTGGAAGGACATACTCAGAGCTTCTTCTTAGGAAGGAAGGAGGGAGCAGGATTGGAGTAGTGATAAAGGGATTTTTAGCTTTATCTGTAATGCTTTAAGTTTTTATTCTTAATGCTTTAATTTCTTCAATGCATTCCTGTGAAATTAAATGTTATTTCTAAAAAAAAACAACAACAAAATGAGAGAATTAAAAGGCAGAAGCAGAGAACGGAGCAGACACTCGAGGTGCAGCTGCCCATGGCTCTGCCGTCCAGCACTGGGTCCCAAGAGTGAGCAGTGAGAGGGCAGTGCTGAGGTCAGGGTGAGGACAACTCTTTCACTTGCATCATAACATCTCATGGGGACAAATCAGCTTTTCATACAAACTTGGAAATGGTATTCTTTCTTAAAACAGGTAAGTAAAAGCATTTAAATCACTTCTAATACAGATAACATGCCTGCTTCATACTGGTATCCATTCAGATTTCTGCATCAAGCAGAGATCACATGGAAAAGTAACCTCAGTGAAGCAAGATTTAGGGTATTTTTTTAAACTCATTTTTTTGTGACAGTGAAAGTAATAGATACTTATTATTGAAAGTAGAAGTAGGCTCGGCGCCTGTGGCTCAAGCGGCTAAGGCGCCAGCCACATACACCTAAGGTTTTGAATCCCCAGCCCGGGCCCACCAAACAACAATGATGGCTGCAACCAAAAAAAATGGCCAGGCATTGTGGCGGGCGCCTGT